AAGTTAGGCGCATCGGAAGACCAGGGAGACGAATAAGTGTGGGTGAAACTCCGCGGAGGCAATCGATGAGAATTCAACATGATGATTTCGGGGAGCACTCATTGGGGGTTCATTTAGCTAACGCAACTTCAATTTACAAAATTCACTAGGTCACAAAGACAAAACACAGAAAATGGTGGCATACCCCTCGGCTTGCATGGCTGGTCTCCGGTGGTGAGATGCGCTGTTGACCCCGACTCCGCTCTCCTCAAAAAGAGCTCGAGTCGCTGCTCAAATGGGGTTTTTTTAGCGTCACCGGTTGCGCAGACCAATCAGGCAACTTAGAAGTGTGGCAGCTTGGGCTAGTTGGTATGGCATGACGATAGTTATAGCGCGAGAACAAAACGACGATGTCGTCGTTTTGTTCTCGCGCTATAACTATCGTCAATCAGGCAAGCCGAGGATAATCAAATCAACATGAGTTTTGGTGGTTGCCTGAAGCCTGCCTCGCGATAAAATCAGTTCACCTTCTGTACACACCTCTTTCCCGCAAGCAGAGGCAACGCGCACACATGGTCTCAATTTTCGGCCTCTGGTCGTCCCGCGAAGTACCCCAGCCGTGTGCCTGCAGTCGTTTGCGCACGGGGCGCGAAGGAAACGAATCCTGCCTCGCGACAAAACGGTGGCAGCTTCTGGAAACGGTTGCATTGTCTGAAACGGCCTTGACGAGCTTGACAAGTGCTCGAATTTCGGCCCCCTTTTGCCCCGGAGGACCGAAAATTTGGCTCGCTCGTTTGAAGTGTGGGGGGGCGCAGTGGTTAGAAGTGACCGACCGGATGCGGCCCTTTCTGTTCAGACTCATTTTTCCTCAAGGCGCGCTCCCCGAGACAAGTTAAACGGCGCCGCTAACAAGGGCATCTGGCGAAGAACAAACTCCAGCTGTAGCTGAAAAAGAACAACGCGAGACATTGCCCTCGCGACAAGGGCAGGATGAGTCCGTGTACCCCGTCAGCACACATAGCCGTCGGTCGGAATCCCTCGAGAAGGCACTGCGCCGTGTCGCCTGTAGGCAGACAGAAATTAGGTGCCTTCTTCCTTTTCCTCATGAACCACTAACAACAACAATCCCTCGAGACATTGCAGTATATAGCGAGGGCTTGACTCATACGATGCCACGCTAGAAGTTTGCTTCCGGGCTGGTCTGCGAAGTAGCCTCTCCGAGGCTCCAAGAGTGCGCGGGCTAGCTATCATGCCGACATGCCCGCACTATGTGGACTAAATTCGAAGCGATTGCACTTTGTGAACGTGTATGTGACCAGGCGTGTGGTGTGAGTATTAATTACTGCTTTTTTATCGTAACTCCTACATTTCAAACAGGTTATAACATTTGTTGAACCTCTGGTCCCTGCTGTGTAAGAGCTATACTTCAGTTTACATAATTGAGCCATATTTTTGGTCGGTTAAAAGTAATTATAACGTTCAGTGGCTAAATAATATTCTGAATATTTGTTTCAAACAAATTGATATGAAATGACACGCTTCATTAGGAAACGGTTGCCTATCTATTCGAAAATAATTCTAATTTGTGTGTTGGTTTGTATTCGACTTAATGTGACTATTGTATTCGGTTCTAAAATTCACTATTCGACTTTGTGTGTGTGTGTGTGTGTGTGTGTGTGTGTGTGTGTCTGTGTGTGTGCGTGCGTGTGTGCGTGCGGACTTGCGTGCGACGAGCTGTCAAGCCACCAGCCGGCATTTCGCCGAGGTGTTTGTCTCTTGTTCCACTCTGCGATTGATTTCGTGCACGCATACCAACAGATCACCATGATGATGATGACTATGCAGATTGTACATTGAAGCAGTGCATACTAAATCGCTCATTCAGAGCAGTGCGCGGTACCACTTTTTGTGTATATCTGTACCCCCGTATTGAGAAACGCTGGCTTCTTGACTTCAACTCGACTTGCCACCGCCTTCAATGCAGCGCGTTTGAAACGCGTTTGTGCTGCCTTGGCACTGCCTAAAGCAGCGCGTTCGAAACGTGTCTGCGCTGCATTGGCACTGCCTAAAGCAACGCGCGTTTGTTTGTGCTGCGCACCAATAGAGTTTCCAAATAATCAGAGCGTTCGAAACGTGTCTGTGCTGCATTAAAGGCGGTGGCAAGTCAAGTTCAAGGAGCGTTTCTGAATACGACAGTTTTTACGCTAATCTAGACTACATGAACTCTGGAGCACAGCCGTGCGCACGGGGTGGTATGAAAAGGGGTCGCTATGATGCCCATCCCCTAATCACGTGACTAAATGGATGCACCAATGCTCGGTGGGACCTTTCACGTCACCGTTTTTCTAAAGCTCAGGGTTATGGTTACGCATTTTTTTTTTCGATGACAGTGGCGACCAAAGACCACTGATGTTGCGTTCGAAGAACTGTATACCCAATTCCCACCCCGGAAAGGAAGGAACCAATGGCATGCCCTTCGTGGGCAGCACGTCATCGCTTCATTTCCATCTCAGCGTCCAATTGGGGAGCTCGTTTTCTTCCCGTCTCGGCCAACGGGGTGGGGTGAGGTTGTCCCTCCCCTCTTCCGCCTCCTCAATGAAGGACCCTTCGTACGCGCATGCTTCTGAACTACGCTCCCGCCTACATGCATACGCCGCATGTGCACGTACCCTTTCTGTATTGTCGCCGAAATCCTTTGTAGTACATTGCGTGCTGCGCGGACGCGGGTCGAACTGTATGGAAGAGTGCACGCAAAGTGGGTCGCGGGTCGATAAATGTCAGTACTGTGCCATAACGGACATGCACGCAGTGCAGTGGCGCGCGGTAAGGTCACACGGCGACCCAGAAAAGGAACGCCGCCGGACGCCATGATAATGACGCATGCTTGAGGTTCCCGAAAGGCGCACCTTATATCATGCCACGAGAAAGAGGGAGAGTTTTGGCTCCGCCGACAAACGTTCGCAGTGTTCCGCGAAAGCAGGTTGAACAGCTGCGCACAACTCCAAACCCAGGTTGGCATCTCGAAGAAGTCACCCGGTTCTAAAGATAATCGAAGGTGAAAGTCATCCTCCTATCATCCGAGTCGATTGTATGAACGCCCCCCCCCCCACCGAAAGCACAGTGGGGTAGCCAAGGGGAGGGGATTCAACTCACCTTCCCTCTTCCAACCAGTCAAGCTGAAACCCTAAGGAGTGTGCGAACATCCGAAAATTTCGAATACCTGGTCCAATAGCGTTGTATTCAATTAGGTAAACGAATCAAATAACGCATATCCGAGTTACCGAATACTTTCTAATACTTTTCCAACAATCACGACCAATGGGAAAGCCCAAGGGAGCAACACCTCGCAAAGCGAATGGTCGTTTTTTCTTTCTTTTTAATATTAGTGAATTGCCAAGATGCATGCAATTCAAGTGTGTACGACTATCGAAGTTTTACGCATCACCGGAAGGAGGAATTTTCGCTTGTGATGTCCACAACGTGCACAGAATAGTTTTGCTTTCCCGAACGTGGTCGAAGGCTTCGCACAACCCCCGCTGCACTGCGATTCGGGTGTTTCGTCCGAGCCATATGTTGGTTTCTGGAGGCCGACTACCAGCGAGGCTGCCCACGTCACTCCTCCAGCTGCCAATGAAAGCCGCTGAGCGATGCGTCGGAGTGTTTGTGGAGCATAGATTTGATCATAATCAAAGAATTGGCCCGATTTTTCTCCGCGCGTCCGTGTAAAACGGCGGAAAATGAATGTGTATATACTCCAGTACATTCCGGTTTATTGTCTATATTTATAGTGCATGACAGAAGTACCCCCTTTCTAAGCCAAATATTTACTGATTCAGTTGGGTCTCATGAATACCATCTACTCCCTTTCTACATTGAAATCACTCCATTTAGTTTCTTCGTACACACCGCCCTTCATAAAGCGAATTTTATCCGTTCAGATTGCGGCTCGTACACAACTTGTTGCAGCTACGCCTGTGTACAGAAGCGTAGTTTAAATTCTCACGGGAGTATGGTCGTTATCGCCAGATTTCGAGCGATTACAGCTTCGGAGTCTACGGCCGGCGGTGCTTCCGGAACTCGGGAAAAAAAAAAGGGGGGGGGGGGAGGGGGGGAGGCGTACTTGCATAGGCCTGTGCACGGGTGGGGGGTGCCCCCACCCCCTCTTAGGCGAGAGGGGAGCGCAATGCCAGCCTCAAGCGTCGACCCAAGGCTGCGACTCTGGGGAAAGGGGGGCTTAAAGTCAGCCTCATACATTGACATGATAAGGATGGGGGTGCTGCTACGAACCTATACGCCCCCCCCCCCCCCCCCCCCTCGAGGGAGAACCTTATATCGCACGCCTATGAAGTTTGCGTCTTTACACAAGAAAAGCTTGCGTCTACTTAAAAGCTGTGCGTATTGATAAAGTATTTTTCTCTTTCTCCTTAAAAACTTGGCCCTCGAGTGTCACGCTGATAACGTGCACGCTGTCGGTGCCCTGTAAGTACCGGATGCACGCGGGAATAACGCGAGGAATCACAGGAGACAGAACAGACGACGAATATTATTGTGATACAGCAATACGCCCCTGTAGACCCTTTAGTGTGCGATGAGGGATTGTACTACTATTTGCTCGTGCATTAGGTACTTCAGTCGCAAATCTCACAAAAAGTGAGCGTATCTTCAAAAGCCACCTTCCAAAAACGTATGGCCCAAAAAGATATATTGCAGTGATGAACACAATCAGAGGGAACATGAGAGAGCGTGGTGATGGCACCGATGTTTCCTTTAAAAGTGCACCACTGTGTACTTTGGTCTTCGTTCCTCAAACATTTGACTGAAGGGTCAGGAAGCTGGTGTCTGGTTTCAGGACGTCGGACGTCATGAGCCAAAGAGCGCGAGTATACGAACGTGACTCAGAAAGGAAACACACGACAGCGCCGGACAGCTCCCTTTCCAGCTGTGTCCTGCATAGCCAGGATATTTTTTTCGGGGGGCAGGTTCAACTACACTTTTATGCATGCGTGCGTTTGTATGTGTGCATGTATAAGCATACACAACGCCAGAGGTGTCCAGGACACCACTGTGTGCTGCACCAACAAGCTGAAGCTCGCACTATTGGTACTGTTTCAATATGCGTCATCTACCACGCAGGCGCAGCCGTGGCGTCCCAGGCGCCAAACGGCTTGGCGCCGGGCGCCCTGCCGCCTTCGTCGCCACCACCAGCAACGCTGGACCCCAACGACCCGATCCTCACCAACCCTACGGTGGCTTTGGCCGTCAAGTCGTTCCGCAACATGCGCAGCGCTGCACTGACGCCGGTCGCCCGGCGACTCCGCGAGATCATGATCAAGCGCCAGCAGCTGCGGCAGCAGCAACAGGAACAGATGGCGCTGCAACCGCACACCGATGACGGCGGTGGCCAGGACTGGACCGAGGTCAGCATCGCCTGCCCGCCTCCCGGAATAAACCTGGCCGGCCGAAAGCCTCTCAAGGGCCGCCGGCCACTCATACCTCCGGGCCAGCTGCTGCGAGAAACTCTGGGCGCCGACGTGCTGCTCCTTCTGGGAGCCCTGCTGGCGTTCCTGGGCTCGGCCGTCACGCTTCTCGCGACTTACGGCCGTTTCGGCAACCCGGAGTCCAGGCCTACCGTTCTGGGATTAGGGCCTCCCTTGGTGGGCATTGGCTTTGTCTTCTGTCTGCTAAGACTATTCTTCTGCCAGACGCAGAAAATCAAGAATGCCTGCTGCGGTTGGCTTCTGGCAGCTCGCGTCCATCCGAGTCGGGGTAACAGCAGGACCCCAATCAGCCTGACAACTGCCGTGGTGCCTGAGGTGGTAGACCACGGTGTCACGTACGACCCGACGCGGTTCAGCCAGACCTGGACTATAACGTAGGCCAACTTCCACGTGATGTTCTTGTGCGTGCTTCCCTTCTTTCGCAAAGAGGCGGTCTGTGCACTTTGACTTGTGTGCCAAAATGTGTATACCTGATTTAACTCGAGGAACGTACAAAGTGGTGAGACTGTTCGGTCAAAAGCGGGGACAAAACAAAATAAGCTAATAGCGACTCTTTGCAACAAAGCAACGTGTCCCACGCGTAATACACTCAACACTGTGTTTTGTCTTTACGCTACTAAGGTCCCTGTTGCTGGTGAATGCTCTTACTAGAGCTGATACTTGCTGGGCCAGTGTTGCCATTGCAAAGAAGAACAACGTACAAGGGAACAAACACTTGTGAGAACCGACAGTCCACAACATATGTTTGTCAAGTATGCCTTTTGTTGCTGATATTGTTCTTCTGCAGAAAATACTACAGTAGCTATAACTTCACAATCACAGTGCCATCAATCTGCTAACTGCTACCTAACTGGAACGCCGCGAGTGTAATAAAGAATTTCGTCAGGTTGTGGCACTGGTGTAACGTTTTCACTTGAAACCACTATACTGACTAATATATTGGCTCTGAAAGCTCGTTTCTGCCATAAACATGTGCAAGTGCTCTGAACGTTACTCAACAATTTTTTTACACATCAATGTAATGAATGTGGGTCAAATTGTGCAGTCACGAGAGTACGACACTTGCATCATGACGGCAGCGGGGCCACTGACTCTCTGACCGTGATATTGGATTCGCCCAACGCCAGACAAAAAAATACCCTTGAGGCTACCCATCATTGCCGTGCTGCTTATTTAGTCATCTGTCGATAAATCACCTAAACAGCACACAAGTTACTACTATATTGCAAGCAGCAAGAAAGCTTTTCTTAACAGTTTGATGACAGTACGAAACTACTATAATACAACATGAGTTGTCCAAATAGGAGCTTATGCAATTCACACACACCAACTTCAAGCCATCCTGACTTACAAGTGAAGTGAATGCCGTGCGCAACAGTCGACATCACTGTGCTTAGACGGATGCGTGAGTTTTTAGCTGGCTGATCCACATGTTGCGCGGTGTATAGGACGAGACACCATTGAATAGTAAATGTTGCTGGCACCAACGCTGCAAGTCAAGTTGTCTTGGCAAGGTTCTGTTTGGTGTCGCAGAAGTCAGTTGACAGACAATGGGGCCAGTGCTTACATTTCCAGCTTTCCTGTAATGTGTCACTAGGACGCCAGTAACCTACGTGCCGCTTCGGGTTTTCAAGTATTTTGCCAGTGTCAGTGATGAGATCGAGTCACTGGGGAGATCGAGTCACCGGGGAGGTATTGCAACGATGCATCGCAATGCTGCCCACGCGATGTGCGGACTTTAGCGATGCCATTCAGGTCTTCTGGTAAGTCCGTTGTTGTGCATGCGTTGCTTACTATTGAGACACCGTCGAGTCAGAACGCGTAAATTCCCTACTTCCGAGGCATGCTCGAGTCCGATCTGTTAATTGTAGAAGAGAACGTACAGCGAAAAATGGGGGCTCAGACTTCTGCAACACACACAGGCTACTAAGTAAAACGGCCAATGTGAACAGACCGCAGAAGCACAATTACACAGTAACTATACGGGAAAGCCCGAATTACAGGGGCAAATACTCCACATCTGGCAACCGACCTCTGCGACAGCAAACAGAACCTTGCCATTGTCTTGTGAAAATGCTGGGGCAAGCAACATTACCCGTTGAATGATTCTTCGTCCCTCAAAACCTTTATCTACTGGGCTCCAAGGCATTCCCATTAGTCAAACGAGACGTTTAATTAACAAGACATTTTAACATACAAGACAAACATAATATTTAACTCACATCTGACACAAAAATAACTTTGAAAACTTGTTACATATGCACATGAATAACACTATACTTAAGGCAAAGTTATCTGTCGTTTAAGCCAAAGTTATTTTTTGTTTACTTCGTTATAATATATAATATGTTATATTGAGGTTCGGCAGTGGTGTGACGATATAGGTGCGGCACTGTGTGTGCGTACAAAATTGGTGCAGTTGCTACATTATCCTTGCATCGAATGGAGTGTCTACGATCTTACCATTGCTTCAAGTGGCGGTCATGATTCAGATTACGCATGCAGCATGATGATGCAGCTGTTGAGAAATATCCCTGACTCGTGTAGAGGTACTCCATTTTTTTTAAAGTTATGCCAAAAAGAAATGGCTGACACAATGAAGCCATCACAATAAGTACCTTCCTTGGAAACAGGCATTTTAGATATGTTGCTTCACCAAATCACGATGCCATGAATGTGGTTTATATTGTTTTAATGTAGTAATTTGAGTAAGAAGCATATAGTTTGCGGTGAAGCATGCGAAGATTTGAAAACTACAGCTGCATAGATACTGCGTATCCAGCAAGAAATGCTTTCTCACTTTAATTTCTCTAAATCTCACTTGACTATGTCAAACTTGCTATAGTTGACAGGCGCATTTCTATACTGCAAAGAAAAGGAAAACTTATGCCACTGAAGCACTAGACGAATTGGTGACTTTTCAACGCTTTCTTCTACTTACCTATTCGAGACATGCAGACCAGCAAACTTCAGTAGACTCTCAGTAGATGAAAATCTAATAAACATAACAGCTGCTTAAATGGAACAACTGCCTGTTATATTAGTTTCGTACCTCAATTCTACACTCTTGTTCGTTCCTCGGTAAACGTAATGCCTGTTAAACGAAACTAATTTCCCTGGTCTCTCCAGGCTCCATTTAATGAAAGTCTACAGTACTGAGCCAGTCACTACTTCACACATTTAATGCATAACCTGGAGTGAACAAAAGAGCTTGAGTTCGTAACGGGTTATCACTGACTCATGAGTTGATAATGCAATCAGTATCTGCTGACAGCAATCATCATTTCAAGCCAGTAACAGTCGCAAGATACAGTTGTACCTCTTTATATGAGACATTGATGTAACAGACAAATGGGTATGAGAGACACCAGGATGCCTGCACTGAAATCGAGGTTGACAAGAAAATGCATACGTGGTACCCTGCTTATAGTAGATGCTTCATATAAGAGGCGAGAATTGCTCCCCAGAGCATTTCTCTTATAAAGGGGTTAAACTGTAACCACTGAAACGAGAGAATTCTCGAAATCAGCATGAGCATTTCAACTGTGATGCACTGTTGGTGCACAAACATCTACAACTGTGTTGCATGTTTCTAAATAGTGGTGCACTGTTATATAAATCATTGCTGTTTTATGTATTGATACGGGACTTTCGTTGAAGTGGGGTAGAGGAAAAAGAAGGGAATGTGTTCTGCACCAGGCCTGACTTCTGCAACCATCTATCATCCCGCCTGTACAATAAACATCTCTCACCCGTAACATAATTGGTGGAGGTGCTGGGTAACGCCTTGGAGCACCGGACAAGTACGGCGGAAGACACACCCCTGGAGCTTGGCCGGAGCCGCAGACGCGCAGGACTTCCGCCGCTACCAGTCATCATGAACCCTGACGGCTAAATCCAACCAGCTGCGCCTAACACCTATGGACACCATTACAGGGAACCGCGCCCATTCTCTGGGAAACCTGGAGAGGACGTCGATGAATGGCTCAAGCACTATTGGCGGGTGAGTCTGTATAACCACTGGGACACTACCGGCCAGCGCAACTATGTACCACTTTTCCTTGAGAGAACCGCGTTGATGTGGTACGAGAATCGTGAGGAGAAGTTGACTACGTGGGCGAATTTCGTGGACGAAATCAAGATGTGTTTTGAAGATCGTAACACCCGTAACAATATTGTTACTTTGCAAAGCTGATCACCAATTTTCTGAATGCCACTGAGAGCCTCAACATTGTTGGTACCCACAAGAGTAATCAGTTTTACTGCTTTCAAAAACAGCTGCGTCGCTATGTACTGTGAGCAATGTAAATTGTTGTGTTTTATTGTGTGCCTGTTGCGACCACTCGTTATGTGAGTGGGCGTATTTGTTATGTCACTGCAATAATCAACATCCATAGCAAAAAAGAAAAGTGTCTTAGTTATATTACATGTGCCACAGAGAAAAATAATGTTTTTGTGTTGAACATTTTGGCATTTTGGTTTATGTCTTAAGAAACACATTACAGACAAAGTGAAAAGTTGATACACTAGAAATCGTCTGCTTGATCTCTTGACTTGTCTATTATTGCAGCGTATATGGAAGAAGGTGATGCTAATAATCACTATTTCATCTTTTCCATACAAGAGAAATTAGAAAAAAAACAGTTAAATAAGTAGTGATCGGACAATCATTCACGTGTTACTTGAGATACAGCAATTCAGGTACTCAGAATACTGAGGCTAACCAGGCAGACATTTTTAATAATGAGGTTAACATGCCAGATTTCTGATCTTGGTGATCTTGGCGAGATCTCCTAACAAGGTGCTATGACCGGCTAAAACAGCCCGCATAGAGAGGCCTGCTCAGTTGTAAAAAAAAGTTGACGGTCTGAAAGACCAACAGTGTAGTATTTTGAGTTTCCGTTGATTGAATGCGGAATCAGGGCGTAGATGAAGTATATATAAACATTCTGGAAGAAATCTACAGGGGATCAACTGCTACCATAGTGCTTTATAAAGAAAGCAACAGAATACCAATCAAGAAGGGTGTAAGGCAGGGGGACACAATCTCCCCAATGCTATTTACCTCGTGCTTACAGGAGGTTTTCAGAAGCCTAGAATGGGAACAGTTAGGGATAAGAGTTAATGGAGAATACCTTAGTAACCTGCGCTTCGCCGATGACATTGCATTGCTGAGTAACTCAGGGGACGAATTGCAACTCATGATTACGGAGTTAGACAAGGAGAGCAGAAAGGTGGGTCTTAAAATTAATCTGCAGAAAACGAAAGTAATGTACAACAACCTCGGAAAGGAGCAGCGCTTTGAGATAGGTAATAGTGCACTTGAAGTTGTAAAAGACTATGTCTACTTAGGGCAGGTAATAACCGCAGAGCCGAACCACGGGATTGAAGTAACTAGAAGAATAAGAATGGGGTGGAGCACATTCGGCAAGCACTCTCAAATTATGACAGGTAGATTGCCACTATCCCTCAAGAGGAAGGTATATAACAGCTGTACCTTGCCGGTACTTAGCTATGGAGCAGAAACCTGGAGACTTACAAAGAGGCTTCAGCTTAAATTGAAAACAACGCAGCGAGAAATGGAAAGAAAAATGGTAGGTGTAACCTTAAGAGACAAGAAGAGAGCAGAGTGGATTAGGCGACAAACGGGGGTTAAGGATATCATAGTTGAAATAAAGAAGAGGAAATGGACATGGGCCGGGCATGTAGCTCATAGACAGGATAACCGCTTGTCATTAAGGGTAACTAACTGGATTCCCAGAGAAGGGAAGCGAGTTAGGGGGAGACAGAAGGTTAGGTGGGCAGATGAGATTAAGAAGTTTGCGGGTATAAATTGGCAGCAGCAAGCACAGGACCGGGTTAACTGGCGGAACATGGGAGAGGCCTTTGTCCTGCAGTGGACGTAGTAAGGCTGATGATGATGATGATGATTGAATGCTAGCCTTCTGAAAAAACACCCCTGGACGACCAGCATGAACTCACATCCCAGTGGCCGGGGCTGTGTGGTACAGTAGACTTTCATTACATGAAACCTAAAGGGACCATGAAAATATGTTCTGTTCAAGAAGAGTTACATTTATTTAAAGAAAAACAGGGTTACAGCATTCAGGCATGAAACCAGTCTTATTAGAGCGAGCTGTTTTGTTTAAGCAGCATTTTCATTAAAGAAATTTCCATTTCCTAAAAGTCAGCTGTATTTGGCCCAACAACAGGTCTGACTGTGTACAGCAGCTTTCAAATCGTCGCCAGGCCTATTGTACCGTTGAACTGTTTCCACACAAACTTCTCTGGGTTAAACTTTCATGTTGAGGCACTTGTAAGTGTGACTAGTAACAGCAAATTGCCCGACAGGTGCAGTTTTGCGCATGACTGCACTGTCGCTTTGAGTGGTTGGTCTGCAACGCTGAACGAGTGGCCTAGAGGATGTGGGACGGTTCCTTGAAACGCCGCCGCTGAGACCTGGCCCGCTTCTCCTCCACTCTCCGGGCTGAGGCTCGAGCTCGCCTGCGCAGGGAAACTTCCGTCAGAGACAGCTTCGCAGTCAACACTGTCAACCACCATCGATTATGCATTGGCTGGGCGTGCAAGACTTCCTAGGCTTATGCGATCGAAAGCCATCAAATGAGGAATGTCGCTACAGCTGATATTATGTCAAGCGAGCCTGTCTGAGGGTACAACCACGCTAGAGGCAAAAAACGTGCACGCGTGCTCCGCGTCAGTGCCTTCCCGCGAAGGCCATCTTGGCAAGTGCCTCACTGCACGGCTGTATGACAGGATCTCACATGCTTTCCGAATGCACGAGCAACACAGCGAGTGAGCGTTACTTTCTATTCACAAATAATGTTCTCGTTGCGCTGTGGAATGTCTTGATTACAAACTCAGCTTTTAGTGGTGGTAGTCTGATCGCCATGGCTCTGAGACATCACCCTTTTCGCCCCTGACTGGTCATTCGGCTTGTGGTACGTGTAGTTTGCCACAGAAAAGGGTCTCAACTCATTCTATACAGCCCCATGCTGCAAAACTCCTAATTTCCGCCGCTTTTGACACACGTGGCTGACGCGTGCAGTTTGCCGCTAGCGTGGCTTATGCAACGTTTACTCGCCTAACAACTTTTCACCATCTCAGACCTCCATTTCCTCCTAAACTTCTCATCGTGCCTAGTTTGCTAGATAGATAAAGTTTGTAATGCTGAGGCAGCACTTTGGTCGTGGGCAACACTTTAGCAGAATGCACTCATTAATCTAGTCTTGACCCCTTTGGGGTTCGTGTGAGTGCTTTGAAAGAATCCACTTATAGGCTCGTGGGCCCAGTATTAATTAACTCAAATGCAACATTTATTTAATATAACGACTGCTGTGAGTGATTACTCCCGGTGACCATGTCATGTCGCTGCAAATATGACTGCTAACAGCAACTCTGATGTAAGAGTTCCAGCCAACATTATGCTAATACGACATGAATTGCAGACACTGGAAATGAAACCACGTGCTTTACTTATAGGCCTAAATTTTTGCGTTTCAATCCATGAGTACTGTATATACTATGCTAGAGTACAAATTCCGTACAGCGCAAGTGAATGCAGATGAGAAAGGAAAACAACAATGATGTGGAACACAGAAATGTACGCTGGTCTGCAATTTTTGTGCTTTCTTTTGTCTCTGTTTATTTACGGCTGCACAAACTATTGGCTGCTGTCGGCTTACGCTTGCTAAAATTATCTGAATGTCAGCAAATGTTGGCTACCAGCTCGATATCGACTTCTTTCAGTCTTTAAGCTAATTAATGAGTTAGCTAAGAAGTTTTTTACACCACACACACTGATTAATACCAACCTCTTCTCGTGCAACAGCTGGGTAGCCTCGTCGGGACTGGGAGGTGGCGGGCGACAGGCCTCGGTCACCAGAGACCGCAGCCGATCGAGGCAGATGCGCGTGTTGGCTAGTTGACTACGTTGCTCGTCGCACTCGAGCACAAGTTGGCCGCGACGGTTCACAAGGTGGCCCCACTAGAATGGCAAGCCGTGGTGGTGGCATGGAGTGTCACATGACTGAGTGCCAGCTGTATAACTTAATCATACCGACAAATGCATGATTTCATAAAGACCACAAACTCACGCAGCAACAAACACTGCAAAACATTCCTGGTAAAACATCCAGAATGACTACAGAAAGAAAATTCTGCGACCAAAATACTACCGTGCGATGCAAACCATGCAGCTAAATGTCACACCGTCAAGACGAAACGGGGATTACAAGCTGCGGCACAGGCTTTGAATTCCCAATATTGTATTAATATCTGTTGGCAGTCTACACAGCTGCGACTGTCATGGCCCTTCGGTGCCCAGCAATGAGCCCATACCTTGCAAAAGCAAATTAAGCATTGGGCAACATTTGGTCAACACATATTGGCGCTACATTGCTGCCTCAAAAAGCCGGTAAGTCCCCATTCAATATCTCTAACATATTCTTGCTGAAGGTTTCCTTCCAAGCCTTCTAGCTTACATTTTGTGTTGATAATACCTTAATATTACTGTGGTGTACAGATGCATCCACTGTTAAAGGGAGCACTTACAGGCTCAGCACATTTAGATTTCTCTATCTTACAGAAGCATAGTAGCTTTGATATGCATAAGACTACTTACTAGTGGTTGAGAGTTATGACCCCTCTTGACAGATTAGTGACGTGCATGAAGATTTTTTACTTATCCACTTGCCGCCAAAAGGCCAGCAATATTGGTGGTTTTCATTCGAGTGTTCCCTGTAACAGTGGACTGTACTGTACATCCCACCACCAGTTTTTTTTTTCTTCTCTAGCAGTTTTCTTTCACACATTTCCGCCTCCCAAGATAGTATTCTTATTCGCCCTTGATGAGGAGTAGACTTCTCCTAAAATACCAGCCGACTCCCGACCGAGTGTGTTAACAACGGTGTTCAGTTAAACTGGTGTTTCAGAAACAGCTCACTCCCCATAGAGTCCTTCGCAGTAGAAAAGGACAAACACCACTAGTACGTGTGCAAACACTTTACCTGGGTCTTCAGACGCTCCCGGCCGACTGCAGGAATCCAGCTGGCCGTCTCAAGATGGAAGCGAATCTCGACCTTGCTGTTTACTGCGCACAAGAGAAGACGCCCACAAGCCACAGTGGCCTTTCAACACCATAAGGGTACCACTTACCACTCAATGGAGTGCAAAAGAGTTATCAGCATTTTGTATTTTTTTATTAATGTATAATTTTTATAACAAAAGGCTTCAAGACGAAAAATTGGAGGTGACCCTAATCTTTGCCTTCAGTGTCTGGTACTGGCACATACAGTCAAACCTCGATATAACGAACCCGGATATAACGAAATATCAGTTATAACAAAGCAAGTGAAGAGTAGTCTTGCAGTAGACATAGTGCTAGAAATATACCTTTATAACGAATTTTCAGATAGATAACGAACTTATTTTCCTGAAAGATATAGCTTCGTTATAATGAGGTATGAGTGTAGGCATTTGTGTTCTCCAGCATATTCTTAGGGCTAACTTTGTGTTTCGTTGCACTGCTGAAGCATATCTCGGAGGCAATGTTGAAAAAAAGCGGGTTGAGCTCCGAGTCGCCAGGTGCCACAGAGATCCCAGCTTCTCACAAGAAAACTGTCTGCTCTTTCAGTGAACTCATTCAATTGATTTTGAATAATTATTCACTGACCCTTATCTTTTATCTTACATGAAACTGTCCTGCAATACTACAAGTACGCCATAAAATTTAACTTGAACTGGAATTATTGATTACGTATCAGTTAAATTTTTTTAAGCGTATTTTCTAAATACACTGAAAACCTAAAGTAAGTGCTTGACTGGAATAGCTTGCAAGAGAAACAAGAATCTCACTTGGTGCTCATGCCACTAAGAATATTATTAATAAAACTGCAACCTAAACAAAAGTAAGTTTATTATATTTGTAAATTTGTAATAAACACTTATTCATAACACTATATCTATTGCAAGCCTATTTTTTATTTACTTTTGCTATAACCGATATTTAATTATATCCGTGTTCGCTATTTTGTGGTTTGAATTATTACAAAAATTGTGTGCAATTTCATGACAGGTGAACCAAGCTTGGTTACAAGCTATGTTTGTTTCATTATTTATATTTAATAAGGCCAGTTTGTAATCAAACAAAACACTAACCTTTGTTAACATTCTGACCGCCCGGTCCACTGCTCCGACTGAATGAGATCTGAAGTTCACCTAAAGGCAATGCCAGGAATGAGGAGCTGGAACTTAGATTTAACGTTAGGACATTTAGCATTTCAGTACAAGTCTGCAACTCTAATCAGTCCCTCGTTATCGTATCCTTTGGCTCGTTTTTCAGGGCTGTCATTGTCAAATAGATGGAAGGCCTACACGTGGCTGTGAGGCACTTCCAATGGCTTGAATGCTTTATCATTATTACTATTAGTTTATCACTTGTTGCGTCTCTTACCCTCAGGTATGTGCCCTTTGAACGTTCCGCTGTCGTCGGTGCTCACCTGTCCAGGTAAAAACGGCACATACAACAGTTTGTGTTGGTGTTACATTAGCGTAAAACAAAAGCAAAGCAACAAAAATACGGCACGTAGAAAGACAAGAAAGTAGGATGAGTGCTGCCTCCTGCTTTTATGTGTCGTCCTCAGGCTACAGAAAGTACAGTAGGTCCTGTCATTTTTGCACCCTGCTTATTCAAGTGCGTAGCGCTTAAGAGGCTCGGCTGGTCATTCGTCTACCGTCTGTCGGATGGTCATGCAGTGGTCAATACAGGCCTAAAAAATGGCTGACAATGCTCAATACCAGTGTAAAAAAAGATAACTAACGTCTAATTTGATATAAACTATGCAGAGGATATAGGGCCGATAACCAGCGTGTTGCTGTTTGGAGCTGCTGTGCTAGCATTCTCATCCAATCATTCAGTTAATGCAGTTTGGTGTCAGCGGCAGGCACACTGGCCCGTGTCACTTCAGCACCTGACTGTCAGTAGTATAGGACACGAGCATAAGAGTGATGTGGCATGCATGATGTTGATTGTGCGCTGATATCACAAGTGGCAGTGCGCACGATCTTGAAAATAAAATACACGCTCTCAGACAAATTTGCCCATTTGGATTCTTGGCACGATTGGCTTACACTTGGTATGATGGCAACGCTTTGGATAACGCTTTGTACGATGATTGTAACGTGGAAGCTGGCAAAATAGTAAGAACCGTGAAGCGGTACATAGTAGGTTATTTATGCCCCAGTGACTCGATGACGCCACGAATGCTAGCAAAATGCTTAAAACCGTCAAGTGGCACGTCGTGGGTTACTGGCCCACGAGTGACACAGGCAAACCCACGACATGCCACAGGCACGGACATTAGCAAAACAGCGAGAGCAGACAGAAGAACTTCCTGAACTTAGCTTTAGAAACTGCTGCCAGCACATTATCTGGGAAGAGCAAAATGCCGGCATATTTGCCTGATTGGCTGCCGGCACAATATACACGGCCCATGAATTATACTAATTATGAACCATTAATCCCAGTAAATTACCTGAAATCGTGAAGAACGCTTCTGCAAACATCGACGTAAGAATGTAAGTATATGAGATGGTGTTCCTATTCCCTTTTGGCACAGGGCAGGCGCTCGCAGCGCCACAGGATGAAATGTGCGCTTCGTAGGTACGAGCGCACACACGTGCTCCGCGCAATAGGAGGCGCCACCGCCTGGGCAAGCGCTTGTTTGCTAAAGAAATTACTGGGTTGCCCATGGTTGCCCGCGCTACGCAATTCCTCAAGTTACGGTAAGTGCGACATTATGTGCAGTTCAGGGCTTAAACAAAACCATTAGCAGAGGAATGAGACGCCGAGCAGAACCTTGCCTTAGTATACTACACCGAAGCTACATTTGCGCAAGGTTAACTACAGAATTAACGCCGAATCAGCGCTACATTAAGCATTGGATTTTTGTTGGTGAACATGAACCCACTCACCCAGCAACGCATTTAATACAGAAATGATCCGTGCCTGGATTTATTTACCTGTCGGTCAGTCGGTGTCGTCGTTTTGTCCGTACGCCAGTCACTGGATAGACATCGCGCGGGACATTGCAAAGCACCGCCGATTGCACTACCACGTCCCGAAACCAACCGACGAGCCACATCGAAGCACAACAACATCGCATGCATCGCTCGTACGCGATGCCACTTCAAACAACGCAGCGTTTCTTCAGGGCACTAGATACATTGTCGGAGAGGTGAAATCGCAAGCTACTCTACAATGACAACACCGCACTAAACACCTATCCGGTATCTCCGATACCACCTTCTCAGAGCTTTCCGTCGCTGATGTGTCAAAAAACGAATAATCTAGTCCACGCCGTCAAGTAATCACGTTTTTTTTTTTAATCGCGACAGCTGTCATCAGTGGCAAGAAAAAGGTACGTAACGCGGACAAAATTGCACCGCGACCATGCACACGCGCGTGTTTACAGGTGATCGCATTGCTGGCTTTGCTACGGCTGAAGACAAATAAGGTCCCTAGACAAACACGCAATAGTGCCACCTACGCGGCCTCGCGAATGGCTGCTTGCGGCAGTTTACGTGGACGGCCGCAAGGGAGCGCCCTTAACGAAAAGCGCGCGAAAAGTTCGGTTTAGACTGGCACAGTAGATAGACGTGTTTTTTTTTTAGCGCTCCCGATCGACTGCGCAGATAAGTGGTTTTGCATGTTTTCAGCTTGCTTTTATAATTATTAAGGCAGCAGTTTAAACCGTTGTAGCACTTATTACATTGTATGGTTTTTCGGGGGTCAGTCACTGGGTATTTACTAGCTTGTGTGTGTGCGTGTGTGTTCGTGATTTTTTTTCTCTTACCACCCCGTGGAGGAGGTGCACGTTCACCGAACACGCAAATTTTTGTAGTAGAGCTCAGACTTTCTTTTTTTTTGTAGGGCAGGGTTCGTCGTACGCCGTGTTTTGTAACTATTGAGTGGGACAATTCATAAGGACAATTGGTGTCAAAAAGACAATTAAAAAGGCTGTAAAATGTTCAGGATGCGGGGTGGGTTTGAAAATGAACCCAAGTGCAGACGCAAATGGAAAGGAGGCTGACGCCAAGTGTAGGCAATGTGAGGTCGAGGAAAAAAATGGAGAAAATGATGGTGGCCCAGAGTGAACTGCTGATGAGAATCACTGAGCTGGAGACTGCGTTGGCGACAGGGCAAGAGAAAACGAGGGCTATGGGAGAAAGGCTCAAGTCCGCCGAGGAGGCACGAGCGAAGGTGAACAAAGGAGCGGCCGCCGGAGAGAACGGTAGGGCACCAGCAACCGGAACGGCAAAGAAGAAAGAGCTAGCAAGTTTGGAAAAAACAGGTTCAGCCGGCTCAGTGGTCGCAAGACCCAGCTTCGGCGAAGTAGTGGTGGGGCTGGAAGGGGACAAAGCAGCCGGCGTCACAGGTGCAGGTAACCCCCAGGTGCAGGACGCTCCAGCGGAAAAGTCACAGCACGTGATAATCGCCGGGGACTCGAATTTAAATCGATGCGCAGAAGCAATCAAAGAGAGGGTAAAAGGTGACAAGAGGGTTGCAGTAGGGACGTTCCCAAGACGCAAGCTGGAAGCAGTCATGAGGCAAGCGAGCACAAAACTCAAAACTACAGCTGATGGACGAAACGTCGTGATAATTGCAGGCTGTTTAAATGATGTCTTACATGAAGATACGGCCGGACTAGCGACAACACTGGCGAAAGGGGTCGATGACATGCGTGCCATTTCTTCTCAGGTACAAATAGTAATATGCACGATACCGGAGGTACCGGTGCATGACGGCAACCTGCAAAGAGCGGCTGTCAACACAAACCAAGAGATATGGCGGATGAGTCGAGAGAAAGGCTTTGAGGTGGTGGAAATAAACAGAGAGGTGCATAGGTTGGGCGGTTTTCAATGAGACAGAATTCACTTCGATGGGAGGCTAGGTCATGAGGTGGTTTGGGGGCTTGCAGGACGCGCAGTAGCTTTTTTGGGGGGCACGCGGGCCCTTCTTGGTGCAGGATAGCTAGTAACGAGGAAAACAACCAGGAGGACTCTTTGACAAGTGGTATAGACTGATACGATTCCCAAGTGGCACCAATATCCAAGACACGTAGAGTTCGGGGCAGAAATCGACGTAGCCACGAGGGCCGAGCCAAATCAGACGTAGGGTATATTAACATGCAGGGTGGCAGGAATAGGCTGAAGTGGGAAGAGATAGAAGAAGAGCTAAGAGAGGAGAGGCCGATGGTATATGGTTTTGTAGAAACACATCTTAGGGACATGGAACAACCTCCTAACAATCCGGACTATGCGTGGGAATATTGTAATAGAACAGAAGGTAGCAGAAAGGGGGGTGGTATTTGGGCATTCATTCAAATAAGTACAGACAGGCAAAGGGTCAAGCAGGAGTGCAAGGAACATTTATGGCTAAAAGGAAAGTGGCAGGGCAAACGACGCTCCTGGGTTTTGTATACTTGTGCACAGGGACAAAAGCCAGAGAGGAAAATCAGCGAATGGTGCAGTTCATAGGAAATAACATTGACGAAATAGGCGAAGAGTTCAAAGTAATTATATTAGAAGATATGAATGCACACATAGAAGATATGAATGGATATACTGAGCCAACAGGCAGAATGCTAATGGATATGTGTGAAAGACATGATTTAATCATTTGCAACAGCACCAAGAAATGCGAGGGGTAGATAACATGGGAGGTGCGAAGGCAGCAGTCGACGATAGATTACGCAATAATGTCACATAGGATGTATGATCGGCTAAGGGTGATGAACATAGATGAATATGGGTCCAGAAGCTTGGGTAGTGATCACAAACGTATCAAGCTGAGTTTGGAAGGGAAATGAAATCGGAAAGGCGGCATTACGAGTAACCACACGGTAATATTTATTTAGAAAGGCAAATACAAACAGCAACTAAAGAGTTTGAGAAAATAATCACAGAGGATACACAAATCTAACTCGATTGTTTGAGTTAGAGCTTGCTAAGGTACGAGTCAAATCAACCAGGAAAAGCAGACACAAACCCAAAAGCTGGTGGCATGAAGAAGTTAAGGGAGCCATAGTAAGACGTCTGGAAGCCTCCAGAGAACACAGGTATGCGAAACAGAGGGGTGAACCGGAAGATGATGTCAAAAGAAAATGGGATAACTTTTTGAGCTGCAGAAGGGAAGCGTCCGATTTGATCAGTGACAAGATTAAAAAAAAGGGGGCCCAGTGGATGGCGGAAGTAAACAAAAAAGGATAGAAAGGCAGCTGCAAAGTTTTGGAACCATCTCAATTCGCTGAGTAATAAGACAAGCATGAAACAGAGGTTTATAACTACAGTTCAAGGGGTCAGACCAGAAGGGGACGAGGCAATGGAATATATAAAAACAATGATGACAGAAAAATTTAAACACCAAGAAAGCGCTGCATGCACCATACCAGATGAGAATGGACCAATAAGCTCCATGGCTCCACTGGGACAAGAGTGGGAAAGGGCAGAGAAAAGAGTTCCTAATCAACATCAACAGGCCCTGTTGGCATCCCAATCATGCTAATAAAGAAACTAAGACCATACTCTAAGCGAACATTAAGAGAGACACCGAGCAAAGCTATAATGAATAGTGAAGCTCCCAATGGGTGCAAACTAAGCAGGATGAGCATGATCTATAAAGGAAAGGGGGACAAAGCCGATATAAACAACTTCTGTCCTATAACTGTGACATCAGTAGTTTACAGGCTTGTGATGCAGATAGTAAAGACTACAGACGTGGGTCTGGGAGAACTACAAAATGGGTTCCGTAAACGAAGGAGATTGGAGGACAATCTGTTTTCATTAATGAAGTGTATCGAAATAGCGGAAAAAGAACACAGGCCCCTGTGGCTGGCATTTCTAGATATCAAGGGAGCTTACGATAGTGTGATTCAAAAAGACTTGTGAGGAATACTGGACACACTAGATGCGGAAGATGGAATGGCTAATCTTCTAAACGATATCTAGGTAGTTATCAAATGGGAAGAACAGGTATCTGAACCTATAGAGATACAATGCAGGCTTCGACAGGGATGTTCTTTATCACCTTTGTTATTTATGCTGTATCTCCAGGGACTAGAAGCAAAATACAGGGGAGTCGACTCGGATTCAGCCTCTCTTTCGCCAAGCAAGGAAAACACATTGAACAGTCATTACCAGCATTGATGTATGCAGATGATATAGTATTAATAGTCAACAACAAGGAAGATCTGCAGGGATTGATATACATCTGTGGCAATGAGGGAAATAGGTTAAACTTGAAGTTCAGCAGGGAAAAATCGGCAATCATGATTTTTAATGATAACAAAGGCAGTGAGCATAAGACACAAGAAGTCACGCTAAAAATAGTGGATAAATACAAAAACTTGGGTGTATGAATAAGCAACGGGGCTGAGTATCCAAGGGAGCACAAAAGATACGTAATGACTAAGGGCACCGGGAATGCAGCTGTAATAAAAAATAGGGCACTGTGGAACTACAATAGGTATGACATTGTGAGAGGGATTTGTAAAGGTGTCATGGTCCCAAGTTTGACGTTCGGCAATGCGGTCTTGTGTATGAAATCAGAAGTTCAAGCAAGTTGGAAATTAAGCAACGTGGCATAGGTAGACTTGCTTTGGGAGCACACGGGAATACCCCAAATCAGGGGATACAGGGAGACATGGGATGGACATCGTTTGAGTGCAGGGAAGCTAGCAGCAAGATAGAATTTGAGGAGCGATTGAGAAAAATGGGAGAGGAGTGTTGGGCTAGGAAAGTTTTCAGTTACTTGTACATGAAGAATGTCGATACTAAATGGAGGAAACGAACTCGAAAATTGTCAAGCAAGTATTTATACAACAGCAGAATACCAAGCCAAAAGGAAACATCGGGTAAGAAGACGGTGCAGGAAACAGAGAATGGCATTTGGAATATGGGAATGCTTACGAAACCATCGCTGGAGACCTAACAAAGTTTTAAGCAGGAAACTGCAAGGGAAAATATCTACGATAATTCTCGGGGTAGTTCCCAGCTCTTCGAGGCTACAATGGGAGTATTGCAGACCAAGACGTACCAAACAAAATACGAAGGCACAGGCATGGTATGTAGTGCGTGTGGAGAGGAGGAGGAGGAAACGGCTGAACTTTTGATAATGTTCTGTAAAGGGCTCCATCCTATAGACGAAGATAATGGCGCTGAATTTTTCAAAGCATTGGCGTTTAGGGACAGTGAAGGCAAAATAGACTTTAAACGGGTAGAAATAACTAGAAGGAGGCTAACTGATTGGTGGCTACAATCAAGGCGCGAGTGAAATTCAATCCTTAAACACACAGTGATAGTACTTAACTTTATGGCTAGGTGGCGTGAGCCACCGCCCGATCTAAAGGGCACAGCCGGATACATCTATCCGTCCATCCATCTAGCGCTGGACTTTAAGACGGCCCCACAGAACACCTACCAGCTAAACTGACGCTATTTCTTTCGCTAGTTGACGCTAGTTCTTTCGCACCACTTTCGGCATGTAAGGCTGAGGCTTATGTCTTGATGCATTCGGGTTTCACCTATTCAGCAATGCTCGACGCGGACCGCGCCGCAATATTTGAGAAGCTTTGCGATTGAGATAATTCTGTTCAGATGACACGCAGCACGCAAATAGTCTAGTTTATTCAAAACCTTACGCCAGCACCATTGATAATGCTGGGAGGTTCCAGATCATAAGCGTGTGTAGGGCTCTCCTTCCCCCTCCCTTTAATGTCGATGTATGGGGTTGGCTTTGCACCCCCCCCCCTTTTACGCACATAAATTTTCCATATGACTAATGTATTAAAGACAACGCGTTCCACCGATGACTAGAATACTCGGCGGCTGAGGACTGTTCTCGTCGCTGACAGTGCAAGCGATTATCACTTTTTTTTTTCTCTTAAAGTTCTATTTCCCGGACACAAGTTCACCCAATTAACAAGTTTCCTATTTCGCATGCGTGTTACAGCCTTTTTCATGGTCACAACCACATTACCATATGTGGCTGCAGAAGACGTTACCGTTATTACCTTAAGTTGGAAGAAAGTATCTGAGATGCATCGCTCAGATACAGGGAATGATACACAAGTATACACACATGTACAAAATTTACGTTTAGCTTATCATGTGTCGCTTAAGATCTATTTCTAACAGCGGAGCTGTAAAGAGAGAGTGTAAAAGGAGCTCGGTAAAACTGTGGGATTGTCCCCACAAAACTGTGTGGGTATGCGCCACACTATGTGCCAAGCAGCTCCTAGCATAGCAAAGCGATACACATTTCAGTACAGCAAATGGGTGTGAAAGAGAAGTGAGTGTGAGGAGAAGAGAAGCTAACACATTGCTTAGCCTTATATAGCATAGTATAGCGTGGGATGGCAAAGGGAAGACAGGGTGAGGAGGGGGAGGGTAAAAGATGGCTTAATCTCGTCTATCGTAGCATAGCCACGAGTGGGAAAGTGAGGTAAGGGTAAGGAAACGAGAAAGGAGGAAGGGATGGACCACAGCTCTGCTGTTTCCTTGATCTTTGCACCACTGGTGCGTAACTGACCAATTTTTTTTAAAGCCATCTTAAAGACTGTGATGCTAACTGCAGCAAGACTATGCCTGTGACCAGCGAAAGCAGAGATTTATTTGGCAACATGTTGCCAAGTGTAGCATTGAATTTTGAAGCCAACTTAGACAGAAATTTAATATGTCGTACTTCGGCAAACAATACCTGGTATCCCATAGATTAGCAAAACAAGCACAAGTTTTCTGTACAACATGTGTTTACTCTCTAGTTTTTAATCCTGTAAGCATAGTTTCAACTTCAGGGGCTTTGTCAGTGGCCTTCAGTTCCTCGGCGTGACTTGATGCGGATTCTTCTGCTGCATCATCTTCTGAACTGTAAGGACACAAACAGCAAGCTCTTAACTCATGCGTGAATGTGAAATGTCCCGAAACACATTTTGCATTTACAGTGTTAGTAAACTAGACGTCGGATGAATGGAAGAAACGGTGTGGATGAAGGAAAAGGATGCTACGCAGGAAGTCAGTACGAATTGATTGGAACAAAACCTCACAAGTAAAAGAATTGATCCTGATCAAGCGTTCAAACTCTGGACTAAAGTCCAAGACTAAATAGTTTGTTCCGGGTTCAAATCCTGGCCTGGAGATGAATTTTTCTATGAAACGAGAAACAGAAAAATCCAAACATATTTTCTTTGCGGAATCTAGCCACTAACAGGTGAATTACAACTTTTTTAGGGGCGAAGCTCCTTAGTGTAAAGCACGCGCTCATCGTCTGCCGTGACACGCCATGACGATGACACTGATGACGATGAAGAACAGGCACGTTTCAGACCACACGTTTTCTTTCTGACACGGAGAAAAATGATCGTAACAGTGCTCTCACCCACGAAAGGCCCTCGCGGAGTTGACCCATAAAAAACACTGCATATACTGTACACATGTAGTGTCTCTCATATAGATGTCCGAGTGGGCAATGCATGGGGATTCATGATTGCCTGAATGATCACCCGGAGCTTCGCCCACTGATCATCATTCACTTGGTGGATATGCTGCGCTTTTTCATTTCGTAAGCATTCCTACACTTCTTCAATACTGATATGCTAAACCTCAGATGACAGTGATTATATCTACACAGCACGTACAGTGCATGTAGAATGAACACCCCCCCCCCCCCCCAAGACAGGAAAACATTATGTACCGCAACCGTTTTGCCACATAGCAAGTGGTTTGTCAACATAACTGCGTCATGTTGCTACGAATCTGTTCGCTACAAGTAACAGTAATGTAACATCTCGAGTTTTAGATTGTGATTGTGAAACACGGCATAACGGAGGGCTTTAACAATTTCGACCAGGGCTCTAGAAGTTTCAGACAAGATTACAGGCATCAGCAATGATCCTCCTGACTGCTATAAGAAGGCAAATTTTGCTCTTGATTGCATTGGGTTTGCGTGTATGACAAAATGCAAGCTTTTAGTTTTTTACCTGTCGGTGCTGCTGCTGTCGGTTGGCGGTAGCTCCATGTCACCTGCGCAAGGAGAGGGCAGCCAGCACAAATTGGTCATTCGTAGCGCAAGTACTCAATCTGTTGCAAAATACATGAACGTGTAATGTTCCAGCACATCACGGGCATTCAATGCTCTCCCCAGAGAACTCATAGGGAAAAACTGCTCGGTACATATAGGCCTTTTCACAGACGGCTCCCTGGGTGCCGCCATGATCTCTTCCTGGTCTGCGTGAAACAGGCTTGACCTTCCTCTCCCTCAACATCGATACAGTTGACTAAGACACAGAAGAAGATGGCTTTCACCTTCGAGTAATCATAGGCAAATGCAGAAGAAGGAGACCTGCAAATGTTTCTATTGTCCTCAGAAAAAAAAAAAAAAAAAAAACTTGCCCCGGTTTTGCCTGTCCCACCGAGCCTGCTCCAAGTGTCGCTGCTGTATGTCCAGGACGGCCGCACCATCGGCTGCCGTTGCGTAGGCATCCAGCAGCTCCTCGTTAAGCTCCAGGAAAGCGTGTCCCCACTTGAAGGGCCTCAGACATTCTCGGGCTAGCTGCTCAAAGCCTGCACATTTGCAACACACGCATTTCCATGTAAGGCTGCCGCAAGGGTAGAATAGTGGCGAGCCCTAATTTCAACTGTGTGGAAATGCGGGCCGTTGTTTATTATCTTCATAGCGGGTAACACTGGGTAAACAAAAACAAACGCAAGACAAGCAATGCACTAACTTGTAACATAATTGTTATGTGTAAAAATGTGCATACTTGTGTGCTCACTTCGTCACTTTGCATATTAAAAGAGTAAGGACAAGACATTGAGGAACACTAAAAGAGTCTCTTTTCGTTTGTCAGACTAAACGATACGCTTGAAAATTGGCAACTACATTCAAAACACAACCCTTTATTCCCTGCGCCGCATATCCAACATGTCAAAATCTTTTTGTCGTTCCCTCCACTCTACGACCTTGTGACTACTCTTGTTGAAAATCATGTATAACAAAAGCTTAATACTGCTTCATTGTAAATGCTTTTTCTTGTTACTTCTCTCATATATTCTGTCTGTTCTGGCCCCTTTGACACTGTATAATCCCACTTTTGCAATAGCTATCTTGCAGGAATTCCGGGTGAAAATTAAAATTACGCGAGGGGTGATTAGCAGCCAAAAGTTCTTTTTATTACGATGGATTTCCGTTGTTAACGATAAGCAGACAGAAAATGTTGATGAGCAGGAAATGGTGAAGATATCATCTGGAAGGTTTACTATGAAGCTATTTTCACTCATTTCATGCCGGTACTTGTGGCTCAATACACACTGTATTAGCCAGACAGAGAAATCATAGCAGTGAATTCCATTGCCTCTAAAGGCGATGCACACATTAGGTTACATCAATTTTTTTGTTTGGCAATCAGAAAAAAACTTGCACAGTACGTGCCTACAAAAATCATATCTTCTCATAAAATTTAACTCTAATGCTTTGCATGACAAAACTATGACACTATCTTGAGGCGTGCTTTAGCTGTGGATTTTACGTTTATACTTCGGGCACATCATGTTATTCAGTGCCCAATGAAATCAAAGCAACTTGGTGCTCTCAAATTTCGTGTTCAATCATATATTTTCTTTTTCATAACGAATGCAAGCTGCCTCATTGCACATGTGAGGTCATCAGCCTATACACCCAACTACAACAGAAATAAAATTAAACGTATGTGTGCCATTTCGTGCTTCTCCCCATTAGCCATTGCCTGTTTATTGCACCACATTTCTTCTAAGCATGATCATGCTATGGCAAAGCAGCATTTAAAGAAAAAAAAAACACACTAAGACACCCATGTTTTACCGGAAAAGATGGGAATAAGGAAAGCTTTATGTGTGCCAACCCTATGCACTGTTTTGCTTTCTTTTTTTCTTTCAATTACATTGCACAATGCTTTTTCCTGACTGTTTCCTTCAGTTCTACACTTCAGTTGTTACAAGCAACAACAACGATCATGCACTCATAACCCGGAAACAACGAAATATGGCAATACGAAAGGATGGGCGACCTCGATAAAAGATCAGATTGCAATACAAAAAATTATTGAATGCTGACAAGTCCACAACCGAGGGAGCACCAATTATTGGAACACGACGCATGCAAATATGTGTGACAAGCAGAAATTGGAGGGCTGCTATAATATGCACCCGCAGATGCCGGGTTGCTAGCTACTGAAATTTGGGAGTTATAGAAGCTTCACTTAATATGCCCACCTGTGATGTAGCAAGCGGCCGCCAACGCCTCGACGCATGACAGTTGCAGGGGTCGGCCATAGTTGACAGGGTTTGCGGCTACAAGGTGGGGCAGCAGTCGTGGATGGCCGCCTCGCATCTGGCTGAACGGCACCTCATCGAGCCGTGCCCATGAGCAGTCTACAAGTGCCAGGCCATGCTGTGACACCACCTGCCTGAAGAAGTAGTTTCCTGTTCCTTTTCTCATTTTCAAGGACGGACACACATCAATGTCTCTGAGCACACACAGCTTTCCTAGTCCAACGTATCCGGCCTTTCAGTGAGCTCTCAGAAGATTTTGGTCACATCATACAGAATGTTGATATTGATCGTGTAACTTAATTGAGAAGTTTTGAAAAACCTCATGATTAAGCAGCTCATGATGGCCAGGTATAACTTGATTCAGAGGCAAATTAAAACAACACCTTGGTGCAGCTTTGTGGTGTCTAAACTTCCTCAACTCGATTTGAAATAAACAGAAGTGTTCACTATCTCAAGAGTGATGCTACGTACAATTTGTTATTACAGTTACTTGAGTAGGGAGTATCACCCTTTCTTCTTTTCATATGTGTAACGAGTTACTGTGAATGTGCCAATGCGTCGCAATATTTGTATTTCATATAAGCGCAGTTTACAACTGTGCACGCTGCCCCAACGCCACCACGCAGTGAATGCTGACCCGTCGGGCTGACATGCACTCGTGCATATACTTTCAATCTTACCGGTCCTCCGGTGACAGGCAACGTGTAGCCGAAGGCGTCAGCACAACACCCGGGAATCGCTGTCCCAGTCGCAGCAGTCTCACGAGTCCCTTGCGTGCCAACTTACGTCCCGTACACCGCTTGGGATCGCAGTGTCCCAACTCCCACATAGCCACAGAGAAGGGCCAATGCACTTTCTCATCGCCTTCGTCTGCAAACAATGCGCAGTGAGTTTATAAGTGTGCAGCACTTTAGGGGACCAACTTGTTCATCTACTCTCGTCGCATGGTCACTCAGTGGTCAATACAGGCCTAAAGCAAGGCCGGCAATGGTAACAACCGGTGCGAATTAAACTAACAAGGTCCAAAGTAATACAAACTACAAAAATAACTAAGAATCAATTGCTATTTTTTTACGTAATATCGCGAAAAAACGGCTCTAATAACATCCGACTGATACCCGCGCAGCGCTGAAGAGGGCGCCACCACTTCGGCAAGTGCGTGATTGCCGAGCCGACGGCAAGCGCCGCGCACTAAGTTCAAGATTTAGAACAACACAAAAACCGATACGAGAACAACATTGACGCAGGTTTTAGAGCTACACCAAGTCCTACACAAGAACTAAATTAGCGCTAATTTTTTTTATTACCATTCATACCTCAGTTTAGGCGAGGCCGGAACCACTCTCGGGATTCGTACAACCACGCGAGCCTACTGTCTCACCGTCGGAGTCCCTGCTTTCGGGTCTCGGATCCGAAGTGTCATCGCTGCTTAGCCTCTCTTGCTTGTTCGCACGGCCCGCCGAATGCCTGGCGCCCCTGCTTTTGCCGTGAAAGCGCTTCTTCATGACGGCCCGTCTTCGCCGGTATCGCGATCGCCCGCTCAGTTCTTGTGAAACACTGGCAAAACGCAAACTCCGAGTGTTTCACCGATGATGTGCTTCAGCAGACCGCTGCGAAATCGGAACATGTGTTGTGCATGACCTACTACACTCCTGACCTGTTCAGATAGCGGGGTTCCTATGGGAGCGCGTGTCCCCGCTCTCGTTCAATCGCTCGCCGTAGGTGGCGCTACCTATAACCTGTTCGTCTGCTACTGTGCGGCCGGCAGGAGGGCGACGGACTGATACCATGCGTCTGCTTCTGTGACAAACTGCCTATACGTGTGATTGTTTTTTGCTGAAAAGGCTAACGTGTGCTATGTGTTACATTTTAGTAGTTAGGCTATACTGGTTGATTGACTTCTAAAGCTGTATATTTGCGTAGAAATGTCTTGCTGCATGGTTGTTTTTGCCATTCCAGCCTAAAAAAACTTCAATTTAGTATTCATAAAGCTTTTGACTAATAATGTACTCATTGGTAATAGAATATCAAACTGATTTTAGGTTGTTTAGGACGCGTCAGGTGAAACGCAGTGCCCCTGTTGAGCACTTACCTTGGACACTCGCCCTGGACAGGTGTTACACTTGTAGTCAATTGATAGAAGAGAATAATGCACATACGCCCACGGACGCATATCAAGGAGAGACACAGGAATTGAAGCTTTAACTCTTACTGTGACCTACACAACAAAAATTGTGCGTCAAATTTCGCTACGGGAGTTTGTCTGCTGGAACGGGGAGCGCTGGCCGATGCGCGTTTCTATGATTTTATATGTCCGTGCGATGAGACGATATGGTAAAGGCAGTGATGTGCCTATCGAGGGCAACACATTGCGACCCCAATAAAGTTTTTATCGTCATCATTATCATCATCTTGTCGAGCATAGTTAATAATAATAATAATAATAATAATAATAATAATAATAATAATAATAATAATAATAATAATAATAATAATGTTTTATTTTTCATCAATAGTTTGATGAAGGACAGCGGCAGGTAAAAGCTGCTCTTCGAAAGAGGCAGCTTGACATAGGCCCACAGACGCCTTTAGCACGACAGCACTGGCAAACAGTTAGCAATGTTATCTAAGCAACAATTACAAAAATATCAAGTTCAAATTCTAAAAATAAAAATAGCAACCATGATAACAATGTAGCAACTGCAAAGAAATCTTGAAAACTATACATGTGTATATCGTGCAATTGAGTTCGGGTACAGAGTAAGAAATCTATGCCAGCTTTCACATATTTATCAATTAACGTAGAAACTGTGTAGAACAACCTATCTGTGGAGTAGTTTGTTCTCGAAGTTTTTATTTTCCATGTTTCTTTATGTCATGTTTCGAACAAATTATTTGGCTGCAGTTTCGAGAGGTCGTACAAATAATGTCGACTTTCTTGAAATTGACGCCTGACCACCAATGCTAACTTAAAATCGTAGAGACGATGTAGGGGTGGTATTCCAGCCTGTTGAAACAATTCACTTCTGCGAGCATCATACGACCAGTAAAAAATTATTCTAATATACGTCTTTTGCATCAGGTACAGTTTTTGTAAGCGCGTGTTAGTCGTAGTCCTTCATACCAAGAAACAATAAGCAAGATGCCAACAGAACAGTCATTTATAAAGTAAGAATTTTACCTTGTATAGTAGAACAGTTTTGCCACTGTACACCGTGCCCTCTACGCGAGATAACTGACCCAGCACACTGTAAATGCGATCGTTTCAAAGCATATTGCTCGAAAATGTAACTCCAAGAATTTTTATACAATTTACTAACTCAATAATAGTATCGCCATACTTGAAATGTATGTTTTCATTAACAGACTTATTTTTAGGGCGGAATAGTACCGCCTTTGTTGTACTAGTGGTTATGTTTGATTGATAGCGCCCAAGGGCGACACCCGCAGTTGGGGCGCGTACACATGCTGAAAATGTGCCATTATACTCGTTTGTCAATGAAAAGCAGATCCCTCAAAGTGATATCAAGGTTTCTGCTAAAAGAATTTGGCGAGTGTATGCGTGTGATTCGAGCAATGTTACAGCACTTCAAAATGAAACAAAACACATTTGTCGCTTTACTTATGCGTGCCACAATATGCCAGTTAAAGCTGATGTTTCAAACAAAGTTTCTGCACTTTCGAAGAATATCCTACTTGCTGGCACACAGTGACGGCTTGTGTCTGCAATAAAGAAAAACATATGTACGCGTACAGAGCTGCGTGCATTTGGGTCATAGTTCAATAAAATGTGCTAGCAAGGTTCTGGGCGCGTACATGATACAATGGAGGCATGCAACTAAACTTTTAAAATCTTGCGAGATTTTGGCTTTTCGGCTATTCTCTTTCTCTTTCCTTCTTTGGCTGTTTTGTCCCGCACGTAGTTTGAGAAGAAAGGACGGCTAAATTTTTGCAACACTAGCCGCGCCATGGCTTCTCGGTGCTCGCTAGTAGCGCCTTTATGGCTGAAAAGAGGGTTCAAGGCCACTGCAGGTAGCACAGTTTGCACAAAAAGTGCCATCGGCCTCTTTTTGGAAATGGCCAATGGCGCAAATGCTTCCGCGGCCCTTTCTAGAGTGCTCACAAAGGAAAGAAATGAGATCGTTGGGTATGAAAGCCCTCCCCTGTCTAAATTAAATATCACAGCAGTAGCTGGTCCAGATGAGCTGGGAGCCTTGATTTTGCCGATGCAGTCGTCGCAAGTAATGCAATCCTCAGCTGCTTTCACCAGGAAGCCCGCTATAAGGCCAAGCGTGCTGGCCCTTATGCCTGGCTGTGGGGCACCTGTGGGAAGGTAGAAATGAAAAGTGTGCAAGAATTTTATCAGTATATAGATAAGCATGCATGATTAAACCGACACGTGTCCGTATACAAAATATGAGAAATATATATATATATATATATATATATATATGTATATATATATATATATATATATATATATATATATATATATATATATATATATATATATATATATATATATGGATGTTAATGCGCTTTCAGATAACAACTGTTGCCCCACCGCGGTGGTCTAGTGGCTAAGGTACTCGGCTGCTGACCCGCAGGTCGCGGGACCGAATCCCGGCTTCGGCGGCTGCACTTTCGATGGAGGTGAAAATGCCGTAGGCCCGCGTTCTCAGATTTGGGCGCACGTTAAAGAACCCCAGGTGGTCGAAATTTCTGGAGCCCTTCACTACGGTGTCTCTCATAATAATATGGTGGTTTTGGAACGTTAAACCCCACATATCATCAAGATAACTGTTCATTCAGCCGACGTTTGCGTCGGGAGAGCCCCGTCTTTTTCAAGGTATAATAATATTTACACATTTTCCGCGTCGATTTATAGCTTGTCACGACAGGAGGGAAGAAGTCCGGAGAATAGTATAAACAACAACATAAAAAAAACTGAGGGAGAAACGTTTAAAAATAAAAAAAAATCTAGGAGAAGAAGCAAGAGAAAGACGACGGGATTAGGAAGGGACAGCATCTCAAGAGAGTAAGGCGAACGCAAACGAGCCATGCCATCATCTGTGTGCCAGTTATGACAGCGATTCAAAACCGCCGAAAATTTCTTCCCCGATTGCGGGAAAGGGACGTCGGTTAGTCGAGTTGTGTGGGCGCCTGGTGAAAGCATGTTATATTTTTAAATGTAAGCCATAGTACCTGCTTGTACCATGGACTTATCGTTACATACATACACAGTATAACTGATTGAGAAGCATGTTTTCATCTACATCGTGCACTGACGCAAACGCTGCCTCACGCGGCTTGCATGTAACACAGTAAGCAGCGCAGAGTTTATAATATATGCATAATATCGTATAGTGGGGAATTGTTGGACGGTGTGTAATAATTTTTAAATAATGTAAATCATTCCATTACACGGAATCAACGAGATATGAAAAGCGCACCACGGCAAGTCTGCAGGGCTTCTAGATGTGGCCGCATCGTCTGGGTTATAGTAGCAGATGTCGATGCCGCGCACTCGCCTGACGACCCTTGATTCTGGTTTACTAGCGAGTGCATTTCCAGAGGTTGTCCGGCTTGCTTTACTGCTGTGGAGCACGACGCCTGCCTTGCACTGGGCGATCCAAGAGGAGACGTTGTTTGCTCTGTACTGCCGCTTGGTGATGAGTGCATCATTCCCATCACGAGGACTTTCTGCAGTGATGAAAGCGCAGCACGGGCGTCTGTCTGATCGTTGCTTCCTTGAAGCTGTCTGATGGTGGAAAAAAGTGCTTCGACAGGGTCACTGGAGAATTTGGCAGTCAACACGTATAGGAAACCTGAACGGATGAGAAATTGTGTGCACTGTACTGTGGACATTGTGGTCAGTTGGAGAGCTTCGTATGTTTCAAGAGATATGAATGCCCTCTTATGTGGTGCCGCGGCTTTCCATGCTGCGAAAAAGGGCAGAAATTCCTGCTCCAGCCATATCAACCTGAAAATAAAGCAGTTTATTGTAGAAAATATGAAACCTAGCGGGATAAATGGAATGTACCTGTCATCATCTGGGGAACTGAACGGCATCCTGTTTTGGTCCCGGCTTACTACGTGGAAGGTTGTATTTCTTATGTTGTGTATGGTGAACCATTTAAATATCATTTCCATCAGCTCGATGGTTGGCAGGCAGTCTTCAAACCCGAAAATGCCAAATCTGCGGCCGTATTGTAAGAGGTATCGTAAGGCCGATGTCACCTAGAAACCAAGGAGACGCGACATATTAAAAATGATCGGAATTATTTAGAGAGAGGTTTCTAAGCTTGGACGTTCGTATACAGCAAGTGAGACGAGTTACAAGTGGCACTGCAGTCATCAATAACGTGCACTTTTAAGTGAGTTTGTGTTAGTGAACATATATTTATAGAAGCTCTAATGATACGTAATTATTGTGTGGTAAGCAATACGCGCAGGTACATTCGTTAAGAAAGGGAAATTGTATGTTCAGATAACCATGCGCTGTTAGCAGCAGCAGTAGCAGCAGCTCATGTGCATGTTTTTATGTGACCATACTGATAAATATGTTAGCAGTTATATACGTATTGAATTACATTTTCACCATTTGCTTCCGTTTGGGTTCTACAAAC